GCAAGTCGATTGAAAACCGATTTTGACTCTCAACTAAACGATCTTGACACAAATGGATGACATGTCCGCACACAACAGGGGTGTGGTCAAAGCAAGTCCTCTGATTGGCCAACGCTTGCAAATCTGCACATTCTTAATAAATTCGCGGGAATTTTTGCTTTCATCGACTGCTTGACAACACCCTCGTTTTGTGCCAACGAATACTTGCAAGTAAATCTTGAGATTAGCCATGTGATGATACGTTTAGCGAGCATCGGGGATATTGGCAACTGTAATGTTAAAACTGCCTTTACCTGACTGGGTTAGTTTGATTTTTGTATTTTTGGTTTATATTCTCTGTCCTGTCGTCGTCTGTAAATTCTCCAAGTAAGTATCGAGGTCCAAGTCGGAATCATCCCAGTGAATGAATTAAGTTGTCCATGGCCATGCCGAATGTTGAAACAAATATTCCAGGCTTATGACGACACGCGATTTCGCGAATGATACATGTTCTGCGATGTTGTCAGTAGACATGTGCAAATGAGAGATAAGATAAAAATTAAGATTATTGTAATCAGTTTATTGGAGCTGTCCATGTAATGTTTAACTGTCAAACGCAGCCGGTGAAATCCTGCTAAGGGAATTAACTCTCGGCCCGGATATTACGCAATATTGTTTACGTGGTTACCAGAGTGCTCATTTGCGAATGTCTGCGCATCTGTTGCGCATGTGTACCGGTAGAGGGAAGTTAGCAGCAGGGTGTCGATGTGTATCAGTTACATGCCAGGCCATAGCGCTAATGGTTAGTGATAAACTGTTGGGGAGGGCAGTCCCTCTATTATATGGTCTCTGTTGCCAGCAAGCACATGGAGTACTTTGCAAACCCGAGTTACCTCCCCTAGACCCTTCATGACTGCATAGCAAATACACCACACACATCTGAGTAAAGATTTGAGATTGTATGAATGAACCACTTTAAATTCAACAAATCATGTTAAAGTTGACCTGACATCAATAGATTTGTATTCATAGTTTTATTCCTGTTGGTTATATGCAGACCTTTAGCTTGTAATAGAGATAAGATGAAGCTGATGAGGCTAGCCTTAGCATGGTACGCGTACTAGATGAAAGACTACACAACGCAGATGTGTGGATGACAATGAGCGTGGTGTGGATGGCGCCGACGGGACGGGACACATAGTTCAGCTTTTTGAGGCCCTCCGCCGTGGAAAAGCAGATGGGCAAAGCATAGGCAAGTTTGTACTTCCTCCCGCGGAGACAGCAGGCAGGTAAGGCATTGCAAACTTTGTACTTCCTCCCGCGGAGACAGCAGGCAGGAAAAGCAAGCTGGTAAGGCATTGTAAGCTTTGTACTTCCTCCGCGGAGACAGCAGGCAGGAAAAGCAGGCTGCTAGCGCGATTGAAACTTTTGTACTCCCTCCCGCCGGAGCCAGCAGGCAGGAAGGTTTGGGCTGCCACTGTAAAAGTAGGAACCAAGCATCCATATTTTAAGCTGATTTGGTGTTAAGTCCCGCCGGCACCATGCCCACCGCCACTTTTATTAAGAAAGGTGCAAAATACAAAGGTTATGGTACAGGTTATACTTACTGTGCACTGTACAGTGAAGACTTAATATAAGTCGTACATTTAACAACCTCAGCACCCCCACCAGGATACTGAGCTGTAGAAGGGAAGGGTGGGTGGGAAATTATTTGGCGATGAAGCAAAATGGATAACCTGCCAGGAGAGCATGCAGAATAGAAAGGAAACGGACGGACGTATGACTGCGGATGTGACATCACCCGAAGTGACGAGCTGCTATTCTGAATGCGGAAATAATACACTGCCCGCGCGCATGCTACACTTACTGTAGGCTAAGTGTATAAGTAATTGTAAATGCTGCCCACAACCAAATTAGTGAAATATGCTGCCTTCTTACCCGAAGTTGAGACAGATGCTTAATGAAATACACTGCATACCATGTTAGCTGCAGTGCCAAACGAAGTTGATTAGAAATGACATAATTAGAATTGTAGTTACATACACGAGTGTATTACACTCTCCAGGGAAGTGTCAGAACTGCACAATTGAATCGTAAATGCTGCCTATAAACCCATTTAGCAAATAATGCTAAATGTCATTAACAAGCAATGCTAACATCTCAGATGTGAACTAAATTATGCCTACATATATAGATCGAATGTTCTGGCAGTACAGTGCTATTTAAACATGAAATGATTTACATCATGACTGACACAAAGGAGAAATTATATTTAGGAGATAACCCTAGTGTGTTTGAAAATCAGAGACATGTTTTACTGAATTGATGGCGACTAAATTTCAATTGGAACCGAACGCCAGAACCACTAAAAGCATGGGACAACAGGAGTGACAGTGCTGCTGCTTAGTGTACATGCGACTAACTTGTGATTCCTTGAACTTTGTTTTCGTCGCTTTGATAGATGTTTTATAATGTTGAATATTTACTGCCAAATGGGGAACCTTTGTCGGCGGTAATCTAAGTGTGTTACCACTAATTATACCTGTTATAAATTCATTAACTGACCATCAAGTGAATGATGACAAATAACATGTGTGGGTTTATACCACCTAACACGAGGTTACAACAAAGAAGTATTAATTGCTGTATTGCATGTGAAAACTTATGGGCCGACACTGTTTTGAGAATACAAACGTATTTTTAACATTACAACAAGTTGTAACTCAGAAAGGGCAAAGCAGGGGAGACAAAATTAAATGCCAGTAGATTGTGAGAACATATGGCTTTTCATTTTCCACAACAATTGTCCACGATTTCAGGTTTATACAAGCCTGTAAACAAGATAATTTACCCCCTAAAATGTGTAGATGAATTGAAGCATCGGCCCTCAAAGGAGAAGTGCGACCGCTCTGATTGGTTGGAAATTTCTGGATTAGCGGGTGAGAATTGTGCACTGTTGTGTGATTTAAGTTAAAAATCGAGAAATGAGTAGTTTTAATGACGGGTTTCATTTATAGATGCCAGTTAGTGATTTATGTGTTTTACCCCCTAGGGTTTATGTGACCTTTAACATTACAACATAACAATATTCTGTCCAAAGAAATCAAACTACTGTTTATTCAATGCAATTATGTAATACCCAAGATCTTGTGTTTTTTTCATCCCATCTCCACACGACTAAAATCAGCCTATTGTTTTGTGTGCCGTGAAAACTGTAGCCCCTGGCCACACTATAATGGAATCGTCTTGGGATGACCGGCCGAACATGATTTCACGTACTGCCTCCACCCGGCATGGGACAACAGAGTGACAGTGCTGCTGCTTAGTGTACATGCCACTAACTTGTGATTCCTTGGAACTTTGTTTTCGTCGTTTGGGACTGGACTGTGTCCAAGCGTTTTCCAAAGTAGATGAACATTACAGTGACAACCTTGCAGGAAGCTGGCAGAGAGAGCAGAATTATTTTGTGAACGATGCAACGCCAACGGATATGATGGAGTATGACTATGAGTGGCATAAATGTGGTGTTTCACGGACCGTTAGATCTATCTTGGAAATTTCCCATTCTAAACGAATTAAATATACCATTTACCAGGTAGGTAAATGTTTACTAATGTTTTGCTGCATATTTTGCATAGATAGGGATGTATTTTTACAAGGCTTTCTGATTTATATGTTAGATATTGTTTTGTTTATGTTTGGGGCTGTGTATTGTAATTGAGTTTGAATATTTTTATAATAGAAGGTAATATGATAGTGAGGTTACCTCATAATTGTGTGGGGAAATCATATAATTGTATTTTCGAGTTTAAATAAATGTTTTATTAGCATTTCCATCACGTCTGTTGTGTTGATATTAGTCATGTTGGTGGTCAAGCTGAAGTAGTGCGGCAGTGTTCTATACGTGCGCAGTGAAGCGCAATGAAATCAAACGCATTTTTAATCCAAAAATTTCCAATTGCCTATGTGGAAAATTCGAAAGTCAGCGTCAAAATCCATGGAGTTGTTATGATCCGCCATCATTATGGTCAAACGGAAGTAGTTCTCACAATACGATTTGTTAATGCGCGGTAAAGCGGCCTTACAATCAGATGAGCGTCAATCCACAATTGATGCCGTCTGATTTTTCTGAACAACCAATCAGAATCTAGTATTTTCTTGATTCATGGTAGAATTCCCTATTTTCCACTTTTGACTGACAAATATTAATTTTTTCAACATTAGGCCGATCCTGCATTGGTCATTAGGGATCACTGTTATGAACATATATAACGTTGTGAGTGGTTAACATTCACATTCTGCTTACCACTGACACAACCTTGGTTTTTGTCTCTTTTTAAGCTTGGTAGAACACAAAGTGTTCAGTTCCCAGGTCTCCAGTGTGATGAGGGGATGAGCCATGTCGGCAGAGAACATAGATTATACTGAATATGCCACATTAGCATTCTGTGAATGAAGCACTTTGTGCTTTACAATTCGTGTGATGGATTGGATTTATTTGTTTTAATATTTAGTAGATTGTGTTGGGACATGAAAGATGATTTTACCTGCTTTTTATTATTGTACCTAAGGCCAAACCAATTTTATTTCTTGTTTTTCGGATTGTTGTCCTCAGAAAACCTAAAGGCAGGACAAAAAACAAATAAAAACAAAAATCACCAGTCAAAGTAATATTCCTTTTAAATATTAAAAGTATTTTACTTTTGGCAATTTATGAAGTGTATATGGGGAAATAAACAACTTAAAAACATTTTCTTGCACATTTACATTTTTGGCCAATGCAATGTTAAATTTATTTTTTGAGCGGGGAAAATTAGATTTTATTTTTTTTCTTATTCTTGAAAAAATACGACCAGCGGATCCGTAAGAAAAAATTAAAAAATTGGTCTGGCCTAATGTAAATATATTTAGTTGGCCAGAATTAAACTGTTTGTAAATTGTTGTGTGATCTCTCTGTGTCATGTCTGGAGACTGTGTTGTGGAGCCACTCATAACACATACATAAATGTTCGTCAAGTTACCTGCAATCAAATGGTCTTCTTGGGCTGAGAGGAATTCCATCCACTGATACACTGCTTGGCTCTGAAAAAAGGTCGGAGTTAATCGTCTCGTATCTCTGTAGGAGATGAAAGCGACGTTCCACCATAACTCTATCCCTTCCATAACCAGGATGTCTGCAATTTACACATTCCATGAATCATTCAATAATGCAATAGAATCAGCTGTTCATTGTCTTGATCACATATAAGAATACCATAACATCAATTAACAAGCTACAAATTTCATTCAGAATCCATGTTATTGTAGCACACCTAACAAAGGGTTGTTTTCAGAATGGTCCAAATATATATATAATAACTTCATAAAACATAAAAGAAATCACAAAATGAAGATGAAGGGCAAAATGCCACAGCATTTGATTGGTTTGTCAACACGTAGATGTGTGTGTTGACAGGAGATATAGCTCAGAATTAAGAAGGGCAAATAAAATGGCTTCAGTTCGTTATACAAAAACATCAAAAACAGATACTAAAAGACAGCAATGAGTGGATTTTCCAACGTAAATATGACAATGCAAAATGAATCAATATTTATAAGAATATTATTACTATTTTTTATTGGATATTTATACAGTGCACATATCCACGCACTAGTGCATGCTCAAGGCGCTGGTATTTTTCCTGCGATCATTGGATGTCAGTCTCAACGGCAGATCTTATTATCAATCTCAACTCCCTGGGGAGCAAACAACTCTTGCTGCCACAAGGCGCACCGAGTTATTGCGGCTTTCCCATCCTTATTAGAGGAGCTGAAACCAAGTAATAGGGAGTGAAGCTCAAAGGACTTCTTAATTTACTATACCAGATACTTATAGAGTCATTGAATGGCATTTAGAGGTGATACACATGAAGGCAGGAATCTTATGGATGTCAACTTCTTTATTGTGGTGAATTCACCTTTAGGCATGATCCATTTTGAAATGTGTTATGAATATGGGACAGACATCACCAATTGATTGTTTTGACATTGCTTCACTGTGTGTATGGTCAACTTTGGCAGGCATCAAAGTAACATTGATGTATTCTTCTACAATACATCAACAACCATATGTTCACTGATAACCAGTGTTCTGGGGTGATGTCCAACTCCAAGAAGAGGGCTGTTAAGAAGCCATGGTTGGCAGACCTCCTCTCTGAGTTGGTTCAGATCCAGGTGATCACTTGCTACCTATATCTTCATTGTGTGTGGTAAAAGAATGGCCATCACATCATAGATTGTCAGGCTAAAGACACTGATCAACTATGCTCAGCCTCACTCATGTAAACAGCCTCAGACAAAGTACTGTGACTTTGATCCATGTGGGCAACTTTCATTATCTAACAAAGGTCTTGAAAATCCTGTTGCAATCAGTTGACAATGTCACGAACTAATATTTACATTGTTCTCAATGCTGTCCAGTATGAAGTATTTCATAGACACAATATTGACAGCCCCTCAGAGTCTCATATTAGTTCCTAATGTACCCCAGAGTAAACATATTGTTTACATATTGTATCAAATTTAACTGAGAAATTAATCAAAGAAATAATGATTCAATCTATCCAATATTAGTTATCTAAATTTGCTTAATAAACAATACATGTTTCTTGAATAACATGAACTAAAAGGCTTCGAATCCCAGATGTGGCTCAACTCAAAAGTACTAGAATCTGTACTTTACTAAGAAAGTGTAATCCCAAATATAACATATGTTACATTTCACCACTTTCTAAATGGCATTGAGTAATCATAAAAGGCTTGCCATAAGTAGAGTAGATTCTACACATGTACTGCACACATTAAAACCCAAATTAAAGGGACACTGATCTGAAGCAATTCCCCGGGACTGGTTGTTGCTTTTGTTATTGTTTTTCCCCCGCAACTACCGGATGATATCCAAGAATACTTGACTAAGTCATCATTTTTACCCATTAATATTTCCATCTTCATTATCATGATAACAAATGAAATATTTTTAAGCTTAGCTTCATCTGCCAGTGGTGAAAAAAGTTAGGATTGAAAGAAAACAAAGTCAAGGTATGTCTTTATATTTTTGCCTTATTATCCTAGCATATTTAATTTATCATTATATTATATGCAATTTGGAACTTCACAAAAAGTACATCATTTGTCTTAGAGAATTCATAAAATGACTGTAATATCTAGATAGATTGCCTAAGTGAATCATATTTCACACACACACCCTAAGTGCGACCCAGTGCATGTTGTCTGTCTTGCATCAAAGAACTTCATGGCAGAAAAAAAATGAAGTGGAAAGATTTTGTTGAATACAACAACAAATAATAAAAACAAAATACAAACATCAAAATTAAAACAGAATAAAGTTACAGCAATAATATCAATGTCAGGCTATTACCTTGTTCGAGGAATGTATCCATCAATATCAGGCTATTACCTTCTTCGAGGAATGTATCCAACAATGTCAGGCTATTACCTTGTTCGAGGAATGTATCCAACAATGTCAGGCTATTACCTTGTTCGAGGAATGTATCCAACAATGTCAGGCTATTACCTTGTTCGAGGAATGTATCCATCAATATCAGGCTATTACCTTGTTCGAGGAATGTATCCATCAATGTCAGGCTATTACCTTGTTCGAGGAATGTATCCATCAATGTCAGGCTATTACCTTGTTCGAGGAATGTATCCATCAATGTCAGGCTATTACCTTGTTCGAGGAATGTATCCATCAATGTCAGGCTATTACCTTGTTCGAGGAATGTATCCAACAATGTCAGGCTATTACCTTGTTCGAGGAATGTATCCATCAATGTCAGGCTATTACCTTGTTCGAGGAATGTATCCATCAATGTCAGGCTATTACCTTGTTCGAGGAATGTATCCAACAATGTCAGGCTATTACCTTGTTCGAGGAATGTATCCAACAATGTCAGGCTATTACCTTGTTCGAGGAATGTATCCAACAATGTCAGGCTATTACCTTGTTCGAGGAATGTATCCATCAATATCAGGCTATTACCTTGTTCGAGGAATGTATCCATCAATGTCAGGCTTCTACCTTGTTCGAGGAATGTATCCAACAATGTCAGGCTATTACCTTGTTCGAGGAATGTATCCATCAATATCAGGCTATTACCTTGTTCGAGGAATGTATCCATCAATGTCAGGCTATTACCTTGTTCGAGGAATGTATCCATCAATATCAGGCTATTACCTTGTTCGAGGAATGTATCCATCAATGTCAGGCTATTACCTTGTTCGAGGAATGTATCCATCAATATCAGGCTATTACCTTGTTCGAGGAATGTATCCATCAATATCCACATAAAGGAACAACATGCCATACATCTGCAGCTGACAAAGAATCCTGTTCCATGTCATGTGTCTTAACAGTCTAATATGGAAAAAGTGTATATAAGGTTATACCTGGTGATAGCTGGTCGTGTGACTTTGTATTAGGTGTTTCACAATGGTGTATAGTATCGTTGGTCACTCAAGATAACACACCTATATTTACATGATGTCCACCATTCTTTAAAAACATAATTTAGAAAGACAACAATGAGCACTCAATCAACATACTGCAGGTTAATTCTTTGAAAGTTAATCCCTTGTTTTTACACAGGCACTGTACGACAGAATGTGTGTGTATTCAGTATATGTTAATAAATCTACATACATTAACACTGCCTTTTGACAAATCTGCTACGCCAGATAAAAGTAATTAATCAATCAATGTGTTATTGGCTAATCCTTTGATCGATGTCTGCTTTTTTTAAAACTCAGCTGATAATTCATGTAAAATGTAATACATTTACCACATCAGACCTTAATTTATAAAATTGGGTATTTACCCCAGACACGAGAAACCACTAATTATGCCTATTATAAATTCATTAACTGACCATCAAGACAATGATGACAAATAAACAGGTGTGTGTTTATACCGCCAAACACGGGTTACAGCAAGGGAGTAGTAATTGCATGCAATTTTAGTTGCCTAAAAAACTTAGGGGTCAACGCTGTTTTGAGGAACTTCATTGTGGCATAAGAAATATATATAAGCGTTTGCAGTGTACTGTTCATTCCTAATTACCTAAGTAAATTTTCAGATTTTTCTAGCAATGGCAAAGTGGGGTCGATTTAGTTTACAGATTCAAATAAATCAAATGTGTGTTTTTTAATATCCTAGGTCACTAGACATCACATTGTTACATGACTTGATTAAATATCAAGGTAAAAAAGACAGAAATAGGATCAAATTGGATGAGTCATCATACCTAACACACATCAGAAAATCTGAAAAAGCTTACACTGCCGGGATACTTTATTACAACCAGACAAGAACTCTGGGGTATATTTTCAAATAACGGCATCTACCGTTCTATTGTCTCATTGTTCAGTTGAAGACATTCTGCCAGAGTAGACAGCTGCTTAGTCCCCGTGTTCGTCACAGTTGAGGGAGCAGGGACAGACCTCATGACAGCTAGACGACATAATAAAATTGATGGCGCGAAACATGAATCCCCCTGGATCAGTGCCCCTTTAATTCCAAGTTCACATGTACTAGACTGAACTGATGGATTGCATTAACACATTATAGATTGGGCTATTTCTCATTACAATGTAGCATACATATTGTATTATATCAAATATACTATATATCATCATCAGTATATATACTAAAATTTTGGAAATAGAAATGCTTTCATACAGATGCAGAATTATTATCTGAAGAAAAGTTGCTTAAAGTCTGAGAAAACCATCAGAGATGTATGCAAAAGCAAGACACTTTATATAGCGAAAATATTACATATTAAGAAAGATGTTGAGGTGGTTACAGCTACTGACCTATCACCACCAATCCTTCAAAGCTTCTAAATTCTTGTAATACAAGATACATCCACCCAAAAATAACTTCCAGTCCCTGACCTTAATAAACACAACTTCTTAAAAGTGATCAGGTCTCAGGATTGTGCAATAATATTTCCCATTGAAATGAACAACAGAGCCATGTTTCAAACACAATCTTCACCATTGAAAGACTTGTTACCAACATACAAATTTCTTGTGAATTTTGTTCTGTCTCGTGACCTTAACTTTTGCATGACACATACCAGAGGCTAGGAAATATATTCTGTTAAAACAGATACATGAAGTTGGAGCACAAGAGCGGGATACACCTTTCTGACAATCTTGAAGGGTTTCTATATTTCTAATTGTCTTGAATGATTTTGCAATGGCATCTTGACCAGTTAGTTGCAAACTGAATAAAAATAAATTATTATATTGTGGCAGTATGCCCTGGTTAATCCACTGATAACAAATGACAGTTATGTCCATACTAGTCATGCCACAAACTGACTGACAAATGAAGAGTCTTTAACAGACAGACTGAAATTATAATATTATCACTTTTGAAAAGACAACAATGTGAGTATAAATAACCACATTATCATCATAACATATTCTAAGATGTTTTGCCAGAAGAACGAAGGCGCTGACAGTGCTGTGATAGAGAACACTTTTTGAGTAACTTCATAAAGGGTAGACGTCATGACACTGTTCAAAATTACCTCCCCCATAATCTAATGTATCCTTGGTAACAATGTTCCATCATTTATGTCAGTCAAGATAGAGCATCCTCACCAATTATTGATAGGAGAAATACTTTCTGGGTACTTGTAAAATAATTTAATATTAATCCCAGAAAAGAAATATGGCAGGATGATGCTAACCATCTGGCAAGCAGCAGGGTTACATACCTGAGCTTGGAACATAAAATACAGAGTTTACTTGTGACATATTTTCTGTAATCACTCGTACAGTGTAGTTTATTCTACATATATGTATCTAAAGGAACACTATAACAGATGTGTAACCAATAAATACACAAAAAACCATGTCATACCTTTAGAAGTATTCATTAAAAAGCATTCTTTCCATTTAGAATAAGCATCCATAACAATTAAGATAATTTTTCCTTGATAAATCTATGTGTACACGTTGCCATTGACATTCTCAGTCTTAACTTCTGGCTGAGGCTTACAGTCTTGTTATGCCAGAGTGTTCTTTGTGAAGCTGTTCAAGAATAGTCTTTTGCATTGTCTTATACACTGAACATGAAAAGGGATCTTGAATATTTTGGGGATGTTTTTCTAAGCTAAGACTCAGAACAAAATTTCACAGTCCATACTTTATTCTTCGGTATACACTTAATGAATGTCTTTGTCCACATTTACCTGTGAAGATCTGGGTTAGAATTGATCTTCAGTAACCCATGCTAGTCGTAAGAGGTGACTAACAGGATTGGGTGGTCAGGCTCGCTGACTTGGTTGACACATGTCATTGGTTCCCAATTGTGCTCATGCTGTTGATCACTTGATTGTCTGGTCCAGACTCGATTATTTACAGACCGATGCCATATAACTGGCATACTAGTGCATGTGGAAGACAGACTGCATATAACCCTTTTGGTTGTAATTACCACCTTTGTATTTTGTTTTCATTTGCTGTGGCACAAACTCAGGAGACCACACTCGTGACTGACCAAATTGTTTTATACGTAAAACAAATACCTTGCAATAGCTATTAATTGTTCCAAAGAGCTATTATTTTTTAAAATATTTAGGAAAAACTGCAACTAAGATATCAGATCATTGCACCAAAATTCTTGACAGTTTATCATTGGGAACATTGTTAACTGAATCACCGATAGATTAGTGGAAACAAACAGTTGATTGCTAGTTTCCCGTTTAGTTATGTCATCTACACAGAGTAATAATAACTGAAATGGTAAATCATCATATATAGTGATCATTTCACTCAAACGTCACAAGATATCATGTAACAAAAACATGCCAATTTTGCTGTAGGTCCGTACTGTATAGTATCTCTTGGCCATTCTCAGATACTCCAGAGTGTGTTGCTCCAAGCAGCACAACCAGCACAGCGATGAACGTAAGTCAAATCAATCAAAATTATAACCCTTAATAATAATAATGAAAACACATGTACCACCTTACAATCATTCAAAACATCGTATTTATTGTGAAATCAACTGAGAACATGTAACTCTGTAACAAAATGGCACATTGATGGTATTCTCACCTTCTAAATGTTTTCTTTGTCTTCACACAATACTTGCAGAACAGGATAACACACACGACAATAAACAGCCCTCCAACAACACCGGCAACAAGGATTATGAGTGTGATGACCGGGGAAACCATAGACTCACCACGCCCCACGTAGGTCTGTTGAATGCAAAAGTATTTTGATATAGAACAAGATGAAATGTCTTCACAAAACAAAGCAAAACACAAACAATTTAAAACATAAGAAAAAAGATGCTTTCAGATGAAAAAACCCCATTATTTTTAACATTTTGTAAAAGCCACGAGGATATAAAGGGACCTACAATGAATCATGGCTTGACTGACTGGAATACTTTGACAGTTACAACTAGAAAGGGACACAATGCTACCAATTACATGTATCAAACGTTTTGTTTTTGAGAGGGTCCTTCTCCCCCCTATTATTAAATGGACAATTTCAAAGATGAAAATTAGTGTTAGTGTTTCACCCATGACTTATTTGAAGGGTAAAATGTTGTAATATAATGTTATATGTGCCATCATTTAATCTTAGACTGCCATCAGAGCAGTCTTAAACCTGGTGCAATGTTATCATGCTCATGCTGTGCAGTGTGTACCACATTCAGTTTACTGTGGTTACAATGTACAGGTAAGCTAGCTCGTCAGGGGATGAAGGAGTAAGGATATACTCCAAAACGTTGTGTTCCTCATAACAAAGATATTGACATCCGTAAAAATCTCTTCCTTATGTGTATCACTTCCAAAAGCCTTTCTAAGACATGATTATTTGTCTCCTAGAATATGAAAATTGATCTAACAAAACTGTATATGACTGTGACTAGAGCATCAATGTTTCTACATACTGTTAATGACTGACAGTGGTATGAAGGGAAGGCACTCTCATCTCGTCAACATACATCAGGTCATGGGCACTCTGCTGTAACAGGTTGATTGCTGACAAGCTCCTGATTATATGCTCCTAATGATTCTTCCAAATATATGTGGCCCCAAAAATAAGGGAACCCCAACACTGATATTTTCTGACTTGATATGACAGTGTGAGTTACGTCTCAACTGTTCTAAAACCAAGCTCCAAGCCCAGAGCATTTAAACACACTGACTATTGTCTTCCTAAATGCTTTCAAATCATGAGTGCATGTGCACTGCATGCATGGAAGGCTACTTAAAGCATGATACACTGGTGCGTGTCACCACACACAAAATGCCACCGCGACAGTATTTAACACTACATTCTGCTTGACTAGAAAGTGTCCCCATGAATTGTTAAATATATCAGTTTAGAAAGGTAGTTAATAAATATTACAAGGCAAGATGTTCATGAATAATCTGTACCCTAACCCCCTTTCATCTATTCGAAATTGTCATGCATCACAGAAAAAGTTGTTTATCAAACTATCATCATTATAAACATGATTGTTGACAATTGGTGTGGTGGGGTGTACCGCAGCAGCGGAAATAGACAGGTGCGGAGGGGAGCGTCTCAAATCTATTCTGAATGATCTGTGACTTCGTCATCAGTGGCATCACAGTCAGAGCTGAGGGGAAATAACAAGCGGTGCGACAGTTGCCTGTTGGAGACCATCATAGACCAGTAACCTGCTTCAATTTCATTGACAACCTTAGTTACACAGTGTTGCCACATGTCAACAGTGATTTTACCCAGCGAGTCGGTCACCAAGGCCTCAACGTCACGTAATTTAAACGTGGTATTTGATCTTGCAACGTCACCTTTTAGAATACCCCATATCATCTCGATTGAATTTAGGTCTCAATGATATGGTGGTAGCCGCAATATTTCAGGACCTTTACTCTTAATGTAAGTGTCTACTTTGTATACAGGGTCTTCTTGTGGGTTTTGATGATTTTGTACAGCTGAGGCTTCGTCACTTTCAACAATCCTGAATGGCTTACGTGCTATCCAAATTGAATATTATTCCTCGATAACTGCAGAAAAGACTTGTCACTTAGAACTACTTAAAAAACGAATTCCCGTGAACTTTGTGCCTCAGTGCAGCTTGAGACAATGTCTGGACATGGGGAACTCCCATACAACCAAGGTTCATAAAGACACAAGGTTATGAATTGTAAAAAAAGCAGTTACAAATATTGTTGAAATACAAATATTGCAGTAAGAGATCATGGAACAATATAGTTCTGCCCTCAACTAAACAGCATTCATTTTAGTTGTTCTACCTAACCTCAATCAGGTTAATTATATGTATGTGTACATCTGGAAACAATATATAAGTGGGATCTGTAATATATATTTCATGGAAAAAGACAGGATTCTTTGAAATGACAAATTTATGTGGAGGCTTATGATCTTGGCCTTGCTTACCTTTATAAAGGACTGACATTATGGTAATATATACCTGAAAACTTGTGTCATATAAATCTTCCACAGATAAAGGACTGACATTATAGTAATATATACCTGAAAACTTGTGTCATATAAATCTTCCACAGATAAAGGACTGACATTATGGTAATATATACCTGAAAACTCGTGTCATATAAATCTTCCACAGATAAAGGACTGACATTATGGTAATATATACCTGAAAACTCATGTCACATAAATCTTCCACAGATAAAGGACTGACATTATGGTAATATATACCTGAAAACTCATGTCATATAAATCTTCCACAGATAAAGGACTGACATTATGGTAACATATTCTTTAAAAAAAGTAGGGGAACTTCATTTTTAATTTACGATTTAAACAATTGGGGAGATATTGATATACTCATGCCAATAATGGTTGTCCCCTCCCCCCCCCCTCTCCAATTAAAAAAATTGAAGGGGGTGACAACCATTATTGGCATGAGTATATATTGGAGTCAATCAATGTTGATATGACAATAATGAATGTTTTGAGAGTGCATCACCACTTTCACTTCCTTATGACCATAGTTGTTTGTACAGTAATTGCTCCAGAAAAATGATTGGTGTATGACGTGAAATTTGCATGTGTATGGTTTTCATTTAAAAAAAAAAAAAAAATCGTTTGGAAACAAACACTAACCACTGTTTGATGCAAGATGATTGTCAAAATTAATGGTCTACAGTTATTTATTGATCTTCTTGAAAACCGTCAAAAACAAGAATGACACCCCATGCACGTGTATGGGGCTGTTGTGTTGTGCATATGCATCCCAGGCATTGTGTTTAGGGGTGGTGATAAAGAGAAATGGTGGTGTATTCATATGATGTCTGTCTGAAGTTAGTTAACACTTATCTAAATTGAAAGTTCAAATTCCCCTACTTGTTTTTAAGAGTATATTTACTTGAAACCTCATGTCACAAGAGTCTTCCACTTCATCAATAACGGATCAAGGCTCTCTCATGTTACAGGATATTACACATACTTTCAATAACTGATTTAAGTCATGGTTCTCCCAGTCACTATTTCAAATTGTTAGTTCTCCGGTGCTATCTGAAATGTGAAAATACCTACTTCAGTATGCACTGACTATTAATGGGCCAGCTCCTCTCAATGATATTTGTACTGATATAAATGTCTAACAAAGGTATTGTGCACTGTAGTCAGCTTGGAATCGTAAGATAAAAACTGAAGATTATTTTGCCTTGGAAAACAGTACTATGGAAATAGAAATACTATTAATGGATTATTTATATGACATTGATTTGATTGAGGTCCTTGACTTCTCAGTTACAGGTACAGTGAAGTGCACTAAGTATTGCAATAATAACATTTGCAGATATGAAATGGACTTTGCTGAAAACAAATCACTCGTTATAAACCATTAGACATTTTTCACTTGACACCGCTTTGATGATGCCACACCCTGTGTTTACACTGGTCATGTGTGTAACCGACCATGGCATGCTCAGCAAAGAATTGACAGGTGAACCAAAACAATTACTTTTTCAGCTACACCAAAATGGTTGATTCTAATACGTCGGTGATGTCGCCATGTTTGTGGCAATACTTTTGGCTTGTCACTGAATCTCTTGATGAAACTTGAATTGACAGGTCTGTCAGGCTGTACAGTGTCAGGTTGTAGTTGTACACTGTCAGGTTGTAGTTGAACACTGTCAGGTTGTAAACTGTCAGGTTGTACACTGTCAGGCTGTACACTGTCAGGTTGTAGTTGTACACTGTCAGGCTGTACACTGTCAGGTTGTACACTGTCAGGCTGTACACTTTCAGGTTGTACTTGTACACTTGTCAGGTTGTAGTTGTACACTGTCAGGTTGTACACTGTCAGGTTGTAGTTGTACACTGTCAGGCTGTACACTGTCAGGTTGTACACTATCAGGTTGTAGTTGTACACTGTCAGGCTGTACACTGTCAGGTGTAGGTGTACAGTCAGGTTGTACACTGTCAGGTTGTACACTGTCAGGTTGTAGTTGTACACTGTCAGGTTGTACACTGTCAGGTTGTACACTGTCAGGTTGTAGTTGTACACTGTCAGGGTGTACACTGTCAGGTTGTACACTGTCAGGCTGTACACTGTCAGTCTGTACACTGTCAGCTTGTATACTGTCAGGCTGTACACTGTCAGGTTGTACACTGTCAGGCTGTTCGCTGTCAGGCTGTACACTGTCAGGTTGTACACTGTCAGGTTGTAGTTGTACACTGTCAGGTTGTACACTGTCAGGCTGTCTGCTGTCAGGCTGTACACTGTCAGGCTGTACACTGTCAGGTTGTAGTTGTACACTGTCAGGCTGTACACTGTCAGGTTGTACACTGTCAGGTTGTAGTTGTACACTGTCAGGCTGTACACTGTCAGGTTGTAGTTGTACACTGTCAGGTTGTACACTGTCAGGCTGTACACTGTCAGGTTGTACACTGTCAGGCTGTACACTGTCAGGTTGTAGTTGTACACTGTCAGGTTGTACACTGTCAGGCTGTCTGCTGTCAGGCTGTACACTGTCAGGCTGTACACTGTCAGGTTGTACACTGTCAGGTTGTAGTTGTACACTGTCAGGCTGTACACTGTCAGGTTGTAGTTGTACAATGTCAGGTTGTACACTGTCAGGCTGTACACTGTCAGGTTGTACACTGTCAGGCTGTACACTGTCAGGTTGTACACTGTCAGGCTGTACACAGTCAGGCTGTACACTGTCAGGTTGTACACTGTCAGGCTGTACACTGTCAGGCTGTACAC